AGGTGTGGGGAAGGGGTCCTGCCCCTCTCGGTTTGGTCCAAATGAAACCCCCTCCAGCTTCTTACCCTGGAATAGTCCAGGCTGGTCATAGCCGGGTTGGAGTCGACATGGGCCCTGACGAGGGCACTGATCAGACTCACCGGGGGCGAAGGGGGAGAGGGCTCCTGTGGGCTCTTCGGTTTGGAAGGTAAACGACCTCTCCGGCCTTTTAAACTGTCGGTGCGAACCACTGCAAAGGAAGAGCCGGGTGAGCGCGGCTCCCCCGAGCGGGACCCAGCTGCCGCCTGGAGCCCTCCCCCGGGAAGGCCACAGCCGCAGGGGCGCCCCTGCATCGGGCAGCTCAGGGCCCCACTGCTTGTAAAGCCTTTACTGACGAGAGGCATAAAAAATGCGGGGTTGTTTTATGTCTTCGTCCAAATGGGTCGTATAGTTAAAGGAGAGGAGGGCCTGACGGCTTTCTCTTGGGCAGAATGGGCTGGGCTGGCAGCTGCCTGGTCTTAGAGGCCAGAGGCAGGTGGGAGAAAGCCGGAGACACCCTCCACTTCCCCCCGCCCGGCTCTGGGAAGTAGAAAGCGGGGTTAGGATAGGGGCAGCAGTTTCCCAAAGGCGAAGACTGACTGGGGAGTGGGCTGTTTGTCCCAACCTACCTTCTTTGACCATCCCAACAGCCAGGCACTTCTGAAACCGGCAGTACTGACAGCGATTCCTGCGCCGCTTGTCCACTGGGCAGTTTTTATTTGCTAAACACACGTATTTCGCGTTTTTTTGCACGGTGCGCTGCAAAAGGAGACAATATAGGCCGGGAAAAAAAAATTTTTTTTCTCTTGAAAATCCAACAATTCAGGGAATCCAGGGACAATTTCTGAGAGAACAGGGTCCACACTCCCTTCCCATAAACAAACACATACACAACTCCTTTTTATTTTTTCCTTTTTCCTTTCTCTTTTCTTTCCCCTCCCCCAGGGCATTTAACAGAAGAAAATTGATAGCGTTAACATTTGAGCTAACCTTCCGCTCCTTGCTGTGTTTTATATGCCAAGAGAAGGAGAAGGAGACGCTCAGTAAATACAAATTCGTGGGCATTCATATTATTTACATTCCTTAGAGACCTTCTCTATTTAAAATGATAAGATTATTCAATCAGGATGGCGAAATAAAGAGATCACTTAATTTGACCACAGGGAATTCTGTTCCACTTGGTTAGCTCAGACACGGTTCTCTGTCCTAACCAATTTCAATCTGAACCAAGAAGACAGCTCCCAGCACATGCAAATGACCCTCTTCCAACTCAGCTCCAGCAACTTCAGGCGGGGGGCGGCCAGGGTAGATCTCGGGTGGAGATGCGACCCCGGGTCTCCCCGCCTTCCTACTTGCCTTTCTCAGGCACCCAGAAGCCCCCGCCACAGCCCAGGGGCGGCGGCAAGGCAGCTTCCAGGGACCCGGGAAGTCGCCGGGGGCCAGCTAGGGCCCGGAGCCTGCGCCCCAGCAGAGCAAGCACTCGGAGGCTCTGGGCAGTAGGGGCCCCACCTGCCTCCTCCGCCCCCGGCCTGGCTCACCTTAAAGAACCCTTTGCAGCCCTCACAGGTGCGCACGCCGTAGTGCTGGCAGGCCGCGTTGTCGCCGCACACAGCGCACAGCCCTTCGTTGGAGGGGGAGCCCCGCGACGGCGGGGAGGGCACCTGCGTGTCGAGCAGCTGCGACGCGTGGCCGATCTGCAGGCCGGGGAAGCCCATGGACGCGGGCTTTCGGATGGGGTTGGGCACGGCGAAGGTCTGCCCGTCCACCACGTGGTGGCTGCCCGCCGGCTCCGGGTTCATGGGGACGTGCAGGGGCCCGTCGAAGCGCATCTGGCAGCTAGACACGGGTGTCCCGGGGGGCGACTGTTTAAAGGAGAAGAGGGAGAGGCGGGAGACCGGCGTTTTCCTCTGTTCGATCATGTGGGTGGTGGCCACGTAGTTCTGGTGGAAGTTGTGGAGGGAGCCTGGGTCGTCCCACATGGGGCTGTGCTGCACCTGGAAGCCCGGGGTGGTGGGCGTCGGGGGCGAGGAGGGCTTGTAGTAAACCGACCCGGAGTGCGGCATCATCTCCTCGGACTGGGGGGGCAGGTGGCTGTGTTGCTGGTAGTTGTGCATCTGAATGTCTTCTACCTTAATGGAGGACTGCTGTCCGGACAGGGGCATTTGGTACAAGCAAGGTGGCTTGACGTCGTAGCCTGTGCTGTAGTTGTCCATAAAGGTACTGAAGCTGGGGAGAGAAGTGGTGGCAGTGATTTCAGTGTTGGTGAGGTCCATGCTAAACTTGACAAACTCTGGAGTTAAGAAATCGGAGCTGTATTCTCCCGAAGAGTGGTAACTGTAGCTCTGAGAAGCGGGGCTGGCTCCTTGAGGCGAGGACCCATACTGCGCCTGAACACAAGGCATGGCTGGAAATGAAACAGGGTAATATACACTCAGCCTGGTCAAGTGAACACTTTCTCCCGGGCTCGGCTACACCTGGAGCTACACCGGCAGCCCGCAGCGGTCAGAGAACGAGAAGGGGCGCGAGAGGAACGGCGGAGAGCGCGATTACTGCAGATCGGAACAGAGCGGGGCAAGGAAAGGCTGACCCAATAAAGACCCTGAACTGGAAAGTTATTAGGGTCTCCATTCCCGGATATTTCCAAAGCCTCCCCCTTCACCCCTTTCAGGAGCATTCCCATTCCCATGAGCCTTTCCTCTGAAGCTCGGGTTCAGCGAGCTCAATCCAGAAATGAAGTTGAATTGCACAATGAGAAACTTGTTCCCGAAGGCGATGGGTTGGGGAAAAACTTAAGTTACAGGGTTTGCGGGGAAAGATCGCTCGCATTGCCCTATTTCTTGACGTTTAAGGAACTCAAGGGAGGGGGGAAATATGAAGTGGCACTAACCTTCAGCCGAGTTACAGGCGTTTTGGAGAAAATTAAAGGTGGACAGTGTCGTAATTCAGTGAAGGACAAAGTTTCCAAGATTTTTAGAAGAGCAGTGGAGAGCCCAGCCTGTCAGATCTCCTCCCTGAAATGAAGACACAGGAAGCCTTAGGGTGAATTTCTGGACTGATTTGGCTGGACATCTGTATCACTAGGCAGGCCCTTCTGTGCCCTTCTTGATTGTTTAATTAGAAATTAATGTGTAGCCTTTATCAGACTTAGCAGTTAAAATGAATTGTGTAAAGGAGATGGCTGGAAACAGAAAATTTCACCCATGGACTGTGTTAATCTTGGCAGAGAGAGGATTCTAAAGGAGGAAAGTTATTCCATGTACTTAGTTAATACTTATGATGAAATAAAGTAGCCCCTTTGCTGGGTGTGTGTGGGGCGGTGGGAGGGAGTGTCATTTCCATTTTAGTTTAATTCAGAACTAAATAAGAAGAAACTAGGATTTAATAAAATACAGCATTGGAACCTACTCCTGATTTTTTCCCCCTGTGGTGAAATTGGCTTTTCATCTAGTAGAGGGTAAGGAAAGTAGAAGTCAAGAATATAAAATGTAAAAACAATCTCTCCCTCCACCCGTAGGAAGTTACAAAATGTTAGTAAGGCCTGGGGAGCCCTGAAGGCAATCTCAATGGAAGCATCTGGATTTCCTAAGAGCTTCTGACTGAGCACTGGGTTTGGGGATACAGGTGAATTGGCATTCACTTTTCCAGGAAATGTCTTTCATCTTTAATGGCCAAGGGGTGGAAAGAGGGGACCGTATTTTGTCAAGAGCATCTTAGGTGAGTTGCAGAGAGAGGGAAATACTGCTTATCCAATATTGGCATCCAATAGAAGCACCTCTCAGCAGAGCAAGCTGAGCACCTTCCCTATCCAGCCTTGCACAATCTGCCTACTTGCTGGAACAAGGCATTCTTCTGTCCTAGTAATTTTCAGATGTTCCCACTTGGAAGGCATTCTAGAGCATAGACAATTTTATTACTAATGAAAAAGAAAGCCAAACATCCAAGTCTCTTTTCCTCCCCCACCCCCTGTCCCCGTCATAATCTTGCTTCATGGAGGGAGAGTAACCAGAAAAAGTAGAGAGAAAGGGACTCTTGACCCCCCCCACCCGCAGCCCTTGACAGATAACGCCTGTGCTGGATGTTAACCCTCTGGTAATTCCGCAGCTTCATGACTACTCTAAATATTTTGTGTCTCTCTCTGTCAAACTCACAAACAAGCGCGGCACATGTGAAAACCAGAAATTTTCAAGCAACTTAGTAACAGGTCACTCTACCAACCACGTCTCCTCACTCAACAATACCCAGGAAACACGGGCACGCTGTGCACTCGCGGTGACACAGTTCCCAAGCAACACATAAACTGAAGAACTTTCTCTCTCCCTGTCACTTTCTGGGCCGCGTCCAGGGCCCTCTTATACACAGGACTTGGACTCTACGTGTCCAAAGACCTCAATCAATTCCTCACTAAGAGAAAACTTTGCGCACATTTCCGCGGGCAAGTCCGCAGCTCCCCAGACTGTGCAAGCTCCCTTCCACGTCCACCAATGAGGAGCCAGGAAGCCTCTGCGGGGTGGCAAAGCGAGAGTTCCGACAAATGCCCTCTGGAGCTGCGCACACCTACTCCCCATCCTCCGGCCCCACTCGCGCTCCGCGCCTCCGGCGCCCACTTCCAGAGAACCTGCACCAGACAAACAGAAAGAAGAGACGTGCAAAAGAAGAAAGAAGGATAAAAGAAGGCGAGCTGTGCCGGCCGCACCTACTCACTTAGGAGTTCTCTGTGTCTCTCTTCATTCATTCAACTCGGCCGAAGTGTAGTTCCCTCCGGGAGTCTGGGTGGCAGGGTCGGGGAGGGGTGGGCGAGAGGGGCGAAGGGAATCGCGGCGCCGAGAGCGGGGAGGGAGCAGGGGAAGGCGGCCGGCTGGGCAGGCGAGCGGGACCGCGGAGCCTAGCGCAAGCCACCGGGCGGACTGGCCCTGGCCGCCAATGTGCCTTTGTTTATGTGGCTCGCGCTGCCGCTGCCAACATTCACCTAAAGTCTCCGCGCGTCAGCGCGCGTCAGCGGCCCGCCGCCCAATCGCCGCGCGGCCGCTCTCCCCAGACTCCTGGCCAGCGCTCGCTTTGGTATATTTCCGACCTGACGTCACGAGCAGGGCCGATTTTAAGGTGGGAACTGTTCAGGGTTCACCTTGGTAGCCAGCTAGGTTTTTTTCTTTTTCCGAAAGAGGTGTGACCTCTCCACCCAGGTCCGCGCAACCCGCAGCGCCTCGACATCTCACCTCACCTTCCCCCCACCAGACCCCCGCGCCACCGCTGCCGCCCGGCAGCTCACACGTGGGGGAAGGTGCAACAAAAGCCCGGCGGAAGGGAACCCAAGCGTGGGCCAGGTACCAGCACCTGGAATCGCACGAGATGGGGCGTGCCTGGCAGCGCCCTAACCTCATCCACCCACGACTGCCACCCCCGTTAGCGGAAGCGAGTACAGATGTCCCATGACACGAGACGCTCAGAGGGCTCCTACGATTGGGGTGGGATTTCCCGAGTCCAGTGCATCCCCCTTTTCTCTCTTTTCCTGTCCCTGGCCTTCTCTGGCATATCCCACCTCCGCGCCCCAACACACACACTCTCCAAAGTGGAAGAGAGTAAGGAGGGCCTATTTTCTGTGTTCCCTTCTTTCCTCGCAGGGCTCATGTGCGAGGGAGGACGTGGTGCGTGGGGAGGGGAGGGAAAAGGCAAGGGTAGCCGTAACCCAGCCCTTCAGGGCCCCCAAAAGTCAGAGTGAGGCGTCGCCCTCTTTCCTTTCGCAGACAATGCAGCCGAGCAACGGGCAACAGGTGTGTTTTGCAGAAAGGTGCTGTAGTCTCACCTTTTACCAACTCTAATACTTCGACACTCCTGGGTGCCCATTAACTCCTGCCTTTCCACGAGTTTTAGGAAAATAAATCGACCCTCCTCTGAAGCCATAATCTCTCTCGAAGTCATAATCTGAGAGCCAAGGGGGCAAGACTAAACCCGGGGATACAGGGGGCGGAGCTGGCTGGCTCTCGAAGCGCACTGTGTGTGGGTTCAGCTCTCCCGGGAGAGGGCCAGGCAGGCGGCCGGAGCTCGCCGCACCCTCGCAGTCGCCCTAGCTTCGGCCGACTCCGATTCACAAGGCAATCCACCCTCCAGACTGAGGGCACAAGGCGCTCTCCGGGAAAGAAACAGCTTCTCCCGGGAGTCAGCCCGCTTCCTGGTTCCTGGACCCGAGCTGGCCGGGCTTTGGGACTTCTCCAGTGGAGCAGGGGGAGTCACCCCGGGAGGGAGGGTTCGGGGGAATCACCTGGGGAGGGAGGGTTCGGAGACATTCCCTTCCTCCGCCCGCGAAGATTTGCAGCCGCCCCTCCCTCTTGGTGTGGCTGACTTCCAGACTGGGGGACCCCTATGCACCCCTCATCCTGAGGTTCCCAGTACTGGCCGGCCGAAAGCGCCTGAGAGCTCTCCAAGTCCCGGAGCCGCTCAGTCCTAATCTTCACCCCCAGCCCCGCCTTTGCCCGCTCCCGCCGCCTCCTGCTCCTCAGCGGCGGGAGAGGCACTGCCATCAAGTGCCCGGAGGCTGCCCCGAGAAGCCGCAGGCTCTTCCGCGCTGCAGCCTCGGGAAAACCTACGTGACCACCTTAAGTTTCCCCCAGATGTTGCGACTGCCGCTGCAGCCGCCGCGGCGGCTCGGCGGTGCCCTAGCGGGCAAGAGAAAAAATAAAACCAGGAAGTGTGTGCGAGTGTGTGTGTGTGTGTGTCTGTTGGAGGGGGCGTGTTGTGGTGGCGGGTGAGGGTGTGCAAGTAGGGGGATGAGGGGAGGAGGGGGAAGAAGAGCTTATTAGCATGAGCTGGGTAGCGTCAGCGCCCTGTGGGCAGAAGCGATTCCACGCGAACGAAAGGGAAAAAGTGAGAGTTTGGAGAGCCGGGGAGAAGGAAAGGGGTGGGGGTGGCGGTGACGCAGGGGCGCAGGCATTGACGCACCCGCCCAGCTGGGCCCAAAATAGCAGCAGCGCTAGCTCTGTGGCGCCCTCCCGGGTTCCCTTCCCCTTCCGCAAGGGAGCAGGGCGCGGCCTGAGGGTGCTTTCCTTGATCCCAGCGGTGGGTCAGGCTCCCAGCAGCTATTTTCAGGCAGTCGGAAATTTAAGCGCAGCCATGCTGGGGTGGCAGTTATTATTTTTTAATATATTTCTAGGAAGGCGGGGGCCAGGAGAAGTTTAAGGTTGTAACCCCCACTCTCCAAACACAAATATGCAGATCTTAAGGAGATACATTCCCTCCACACGCTCCTCCTCCCTTAAACCATTTTAAAAAATAATTGGCTTTAGCCTGGGGTGAGTCTGCGGACAGTTTGAAAATTCTCTCCCAGTGAATGGAAAAGGTGTGCTGGAGTTCTTAAAGTGAACTCCAAGAAGACAAACACTGTAATATAAAGCATTATTCTGTCACAGCAACCTGTCGAGTCTGGCTTCTTGGTAACAGAGCCTTCGCTCAAGTCTTTTATGCACCCAAGATCGAAACGTAGTTTTCACAGCAGCTTGTTAACAAATTATTAGTAACTAGGAATGAATCGGATATAACATCAACATGCGAGGGGAAAGAAGTGGCTTTTTGGCCTTCTTTTCTACAATTCATATGAGTTCTCTCCTCCTCAAATCCCTATTCTACAATAGCTGCTGGGAAGTGTGTCTTCTTATTAAGGCGCATCAGAATCAAGACTGATAGACTCTCTTAGACCAATTATTGGGTAAGCTGTTTTTTGGGCTGGCGTTTTTGGTAGGGCTTCGATGTGCTCCGGGTGGAAGGGATCCGGTAGACATTAGAAAGTGTAAGAAAGAACCACCACGCTCAAAACACCAGACTGTTGGGTCCCCAACAGATTCTCATGAAAGGAACAGGTCTCAGTAGAAGGGCCAATGTCTGTAATTGACTGATGCTGTCAGTAGGGGGCCTGACTCCACAACATTCAGGATGATCCATCACACAAATACACACACAAGCACACACACACCCCATCACACAAATACACACCGTCATACAAATACACGCACAAGCGCGCGCGCACACACACACACCCACCCCTCTAGCTATTTACTACTTAGGTCAAGCTCCAGGAGACCTTGCAGCAGGCCCAGACATTCATATTCTGCTGGAATTCATAAATAACTACAAATCTTTGATTCTCTTCTATTTTTCTCAAAAAGGGAAACAGTTTAACACTGGAATTAGGTTAACAATAGATTTTCTTTATTTCCGCCCACCCGTATTTAACTCACTGTTAGGTCACAGAGAGGGGAAAAAAAAATCAAAATGGTAATAAAATCTTTCATTTTACCACCAAGCAGTTCAAATTGGCATATAGTTTGGAAAAATGAAAGCATGTTTTAAAATCCTATGATTACATGTTTAAATAAATTATAGTTTAGAAGAGGATTCCTGTGGGTGTATTTGCTAGTACATAAGAGAATGCTTTTGTGCATAGAGGTTTAATTACACATATAATGGAATCAAAATGTAGAATTGAACAACCTTTTAGAAAATGTTCAAATGATGCTCTAGGCTAAAAGAAACTGAAATTCTGCATTTATATGACTGCAATCCTGCAAGATTCTTGAATGTAAATAGATTCTTGAATATAAACTACTTTATAACTCAATTAAAATGACAATAATGTTTCTTTCAGGGCCCAGAATCTGATATAACTTTAAATTATTGCCATGTATAAATACATAAAGTTACCCCAAATGAAGGTCAGTATTTTTAACAATTTAAAATAAATGGGAATAAAAACTGAGCCTACCTGTAAATAGCTCCTTTTTTTGAAACCAACTAAAATTACAAAATTATTATCTCTGTCAATATACAATATTAGATGACCTCAGAAAAAGCACATAGGAAAATAATATTGTATTTTATGATATTAGCCAGTATTAAGCAGACCATATTGGTATATATATAGAAAAAATATTTTCATAAAAAACAATGTAAATAATACATACTCAAATCTAAATCTAAGTATTTTATTTTATGCAAGGCTAAGCAGATTATACTTAATAAAACTGAGATTTTTTATATGATTTAGAAAGCAAACATGGATTTAATTCTTAATTCTATGGAATCCTTAATTCCATAAGGCTTTTCTATAATAATGTGTGGGAAAGGGATCTTTAGGGATTTATTTCACTATTCTCACCAAATGTACTCAGAGTGGCCCTTAGCTCTCACAGTTAAAATATAGTAAACAGACACAACTGTTATGCTATAAGAATCAAGGTAACTTGAAGATATTTCATAATATTAGTTAACGGAATCTATGTTAAGCATAAAAATGAGATTATTTTAGGTTATATTTGGACAAATTTCATGTCATTTGTTGTCATTCAGTTTTATATTTGTGATAGAAATTTTCACTTTGAAAAAAAAATCTCAGTTTCTGAAAATACAAAATCATTTTTTAATATGGAAGGTTTCTGGTTATTTACTTTGCCATTTCACTTGCATTAAAAAGATATTAATCAGCCAATCATTTTTTCCTTTTCTGTGAGATGCCTAGAGAAAAAGTAAAATGCTTAGCTAGTAATTTACATTTTGGGTAGTTGTGGCTTTTACTCAGTTTTACCCAGCCCAGTTTTCACCCCAAATCACTTAATCCAAAGATTTTAAAAACTGTTTCTTATTTTGATACAGAACTCAGTTCTAGAAATGTATAAAGATGTGCAGAAGAAAACAGTACTCATTTTTTCTAGAAGCATCTACTTGTAAATTAAAATTATAAAACTGAACATATGGTAAAACCTCATGCCACTCAAAAAGTATTTTGCATAATAAAAATCGTTCATCTTTTCTCTAATTCTTGACTCTCAGTAACTATCTCCTAAATACTTTTAAATTAACCACTTAATACTTTTTTTTGTTACTGTGGTAAAAAACATAAAAATTACCATCTCATATTTTTAAATGTACAGTTCAGTCATGTTAAATAGTCATCCTGTTGTGCACCCATCACCACTACTCACCCCCATAACTCTTAATCTTATAAAACTCTAACTCTGTAACCATTTAACAATAATTCTCCATTCTCCCCTCCTCCCACACCTAGCAATCATCAATATTTTCTTATGTAAGACTTCTTCTTGATTAAGCAAGGAAGGGTTACTTTGGTTTTAGATTTCATTGCTAATTTCACTAAACATGGGAGTCAATAAAAAGTACAAAGTCATGAAAGATGCTTTAAAGGTTCTGAGAATAAGGTGCTATATGCTCAGAAAATACCAAGGGCACTTAAAAATTGTAAAAGTAGCTAATAACATCAGTAACCATCATAATACTATGTAGGATTTTCTTTTAGTAGATAAAATACATACACTTTGCAAGAGTCTTCATTGTATGTAACAGCTAGCTAGTTTTTTACGTTTAATGATAAAATAACCACCTTTGATTTTTTTCCTCAGACTAACTGGCGTATAGGAACTTTTAAATTTAATAAAAACTGAAGACATGTTATTGATATATTACAATATAGCCCTCTTTTTAGCCCTCTTCTTCAACATAATTCTGCAATTAACAATTTTAACATTACAAAAGTAACTTATAGCAAGGACCCTTATAGTGATAAGTAATAAATCTAATTACCATATTCTTTGAATAGATGTAATATAAATTTCATTGCTCACTTAAAAGTTCTAAAGTTAACAGCATAAACTTGAAGTTGAGTAATTAAGTAATCCTTATATAGACACTTATTAAAGTATTTATACATATTATCTTAAATCTACATCTATCATTTTGCCAATTAAAATTAGGACTTTAATTGCAATTAAGTAATTTAATTGCCAATTGAACAGCAAAATTGCTAAGTGACTAATTTTAATGCCTATTTTAATTACCAATCATGACTGGGGAGGGAGCTAATCAAGTTACATCAAGCAGTACCAGAGTAATGATGTGAA